GTTTTTGGTTGAACTCAAAATGTTTTGCACTCAGAACATGAACGTCCTGGGCGGGGCCTAAGGAGGACCTGTGTAAGACGTGTCCCTATTGGTCAGTTTGGACTGAAGAGATTTCCTCGTGCACCCGCTTGTTTCTAGCCTGGTAAAAACCAGACCCCTGTCCTTCGTTTTGTTTCGTACGAGGGTCTGGACTCTCGGCTATAGAGACGTGATTCTTGCAGGAGGCGTGGCCTCTGCTGAAGTTTAAAATGATTGGATCAGCTGGCTGTGACGTATGTCGCTGTGACGGAGGCTAAGCTAAGAAGCTAACCGGAAATCGTGCGCTGTGAACAACCCTACTGAGAGGAGAGAAGTACCGAGCTGAACGAGACGACTGTAAATGAGAGCTGCTGCTTTGTCAGATAAATTTATTTTAATTTGAAGTCTTATCAACACAGACTGGCTTCATTCACTTCCTCCACTGCTGTATGCTAAAATAACTAGCTAACACTGCGCAGAACATCGACGTTCTGTTCTCTGATTGGCCCGAATGAAATTCTCCTAAAGAAATCGTTGTCTGTGGGAGAAATCCCAGACAGAGAGGTGAAGGAAACTAAAACTGAGCAGAAATGTGTAGGAAGGCAAGAGCCAGGTTAGCTTGTTTCTGTTCTGAAACATTTCTGTTAAAAAAAAACTTTGAATTTTTATATTGAAATTGTTTTTTTTTTTTTKTTTGGTTGAAATAACTTGTTGATTTTTTTTGATTGAAATTTTTGTTTGAATAATAAAACACAAAATGAGCTCCATAAAGACGGAGCTGCAGTAGTTAGTCCTGTCTGCTTCCTGATGCTTTTATTGTGAAACACCTCATGTAGGAACAAACAGCTGAGGAACCCACAGAACAAGTTTATAAACCTGATGAACCAGAGATTATAAATTTAAAAAAAAATTAATTATTCTACAAACTGAACTAGACTCTGATAAAAAGTTACAAACGCCCCCGAGATGACGGCGCCCTTAGCGTTTGCCTCTACTGCCTACGCCACGTTGTCACCAAAAAGGTTCATTTATTGTGATTTTTTTTCTCTTATTTGAAGCTTCGTCAGTAAAAAAAACAGGATTTTGGATCAGAGAAAATAAAAAAAGAATAATTTAACAGAAACATGACGTGCTGACAGGAAACACACTGAAGTGGTCACTACCTGTAAAAACTGCTGAGTTGGTCATTTCTGTGTTTAAAGTTGACTCAGCTGTTCAGTGATTATTATGAGAATGTTATAAAGATCCAGTCAGATTTATAAGATATTTTGCTAACAGACGGATCACCTGCTGCCATGAGCAGTATTTTTATTTTGACTCTTTCCGTCGTTCCCTCGGGACCTGAGAGGACCGACGTTCTGTCGGAGTGCCCTTGAGCAAAGAGGAGGCTCAAACCGACCCTGAAGCCTCAGCGGAGCTGGAGGCCTCCTGTATTTATGAGTCCRTAGATCTTTCCTCCGTCAGCTTTATTTGTTTGGTCTTTTATCAGAGTTACAATCCTCGTGACGCCTGAAGCGTCCGGCAGCAGAAGATATATCTGACAGGAAGTGAAAATAAACGTGACGCGAGGCGAGGCGAGGCGAGGCGAGGAGGTCCGGAGACCACGAGCAGAAAACAAGAAGAGTTCAACCTTGAAGCGAGGACGCAGCAGCAGAGCCGTCAGCTGATGTTCGTTTACAGAAACAGAGTAGTTTCATGAACAGAAAATATTTATCTACTGCAGCTGAAAGGTTAAAGGCAGGCCGTAAGTTAGCTGCAGCTAACGGACGTTAGCATGTTTAGAAAGGGTTTTATCTGTAAATATTAAGGTTTGCTGATGTACCGTTACACAGTAACATACTTTGATTTGCTTCCTGTAACTCTTCTAAGTTTTTTTTTTTTTTACTTTGCTTCATTTCAAACCAAAGTTAACGTCTTAAATTAACGTTCCTGTGATCAACAGCTGCTGCTGCTCAGAGGAAACAAACTCATTCATGGCTCCATTTTCCCAGAATCGCTGGATTTTCTTTAATAGACGCTGAAAATTCAGCTGAAAGATTTTCTTCATCGAGTTGAACAAACCAGATCAGTGTGATCTGGTCCAGAGGAGTCCAGTCCTGGTCCTGGTGGTCCACTGTGTTTCTCTGCTTTGACATCTGATTTGATTGATTAACAGGATTCTGCAGAACCTGAAGACCTGAAAAGAGCAGGGAATCATCTCAGACCTGCTGTGGGGACCCGACCACGACCAGGACTAGGACTGGGACTGGGACTGGGGCTGGAACTGGTCCACAGAACTGAACAATGTTAGTGG